TAGGCACGTAACCGTTGCACCGCTGTCCAACAATCCCTCGATTTCCTGTCCATTTATAGAAATCCTAGTATAAAAACGCGAATCATCACCCTCTATTAACGACGTGGCCGAAATTTCCCGTCTAAGACTTTTTCTTCGCTTATACCTTTCGCGTGCTTTCTTTATCCTACTCGAAACGTTTCCGAAAATTCTCGATCTTGCCTGATTATATCCTTGCACCCTAATATGTAAAGGTTTTATCTCCCTGAGCCGAGGCTCAGTACTTGCCTCTACTTTTGCTTCAACCCTTTTCAAAATTTTACTTTGCTCTCTCTCTTCACTCGTTGCCGTAAATCTTTGACTAACTGGGCCTAAACTTCCGTTGACCTCGCCTCCCCAGTTCGAGACGGGTTCCGGGACCGGTTTCCCTGACATCTAGGACACTTCGGTGTAACTACATTGTCCATTCCACATTTAAAACAGAAAATTATACGCGTGGGCGAAGGACAATAAAAAAACCGTGACCAACCATCTTGCAGTTCCAGCAGGTGTATTTACTCGTGTTCTGCATTGCGTCCACTTCCAGAATAGGCACCACATCTTTTTCTTCTGGTGTAATCTCAATTTCATTTACCCTTGCGAAACTAGGACGCTGTTGATAACTTTGCCTCTGGTTAGCCAACAAGTTCTCTGCTCTCTTGACCTCGTGACAAAACTCGGTTAAACTGTTTATTCGAATGGGAAACATCAACTGGGCCAAAGCTGGCTTAAGGTTACCCCTCATGATATCAATTAACGATCTCTCATCATACGGGACTTTTTGCTGATGGCGTAGCTTAAGTATGACATTATAAAACTCTTCAAATGACTCATGAGGTAACTGGCGGCGATTGAGTATTTACATTTGTACCTGAAACTCATTCTCAAAACGCTGATATTGGGACAAGATAGCACTTTCCAGGTCCCGCCAAGAGTTAATTTGCGCCAATTTGCGATGGTTCCAATACCAGTCTAAAGCTGGTCCTTCCAGTAAGTTATGGAAATGGCGTAAAATATCCATGTCCGAGCAGTTGTAATCTTTTCTCAGCTCGTTTACTCGAAAAATAAACTCTTGAGCATTCATGGACTTACTGGTTCCATCAAATTTTATACCCCACTTAGACAAATTCATTCGCTGATGATTTTCCATACCAATTGACACTGGCCAAGCATAATTAGGAGCTGGTCCAAAGCTACTTTGCTGTTGTAGTGGTGGTTGATGATAGCTATACCCTTGTTGTTGTTGTTGGTTGTAACCTTGCTGTTGATGGTTGTAGGCTTGTTGTTGTTGAGTGTAGGCTTGTTGTTGACCAACCCTCTGGGTATTGATCGGGGTCTGATTCATTGGCTGTTGTTCAAAATATCTGGTCTGGTTAAGATGGCCACTAGACTCCTAGTCACTGGAGGTAATGGGTTTGTTTGTGTCACTGTGCCGGTTAAGAATTCCGGACCTCCTCCCTGCGCCTCCTGCAATGGCACCGTCGGATCTAAACTTGCTGGGACATCGTGTTGTTGCTGGTGGTTTATACCCAATGCCCGCTTAATTTCAATTAAAGCATTGTTGATTTTATTATCTACTTGCCTCATAAATTGCGCCTGGGAAAGACCGATAGAAGCGTTGACCACTTCCTGTATGTTGGCACTTTGATTCCGCTGGTTGGCCAGACTCTCTCGGACTTCGCGGCGAACGTTTTGAGCAGTAAGGCTACTGTATTCTGGCGACCTAATCGTGGAATTCGAGTCGTCTGAACTAATAGAGACCTCGTGAGGCAATACTGGTGCTGTTGACGTGGCTGTTGTGGTAGGCCCACCTGCAGTGAGAGCGTCTGTAGTACGAGTTACACCTGCTTCAGTAGTTGCCATGTTACTGCTGGTTGGTAAATTACTTGAAATTCTACTACCGGAACGAATTACAACCATAATCCACCAAAAACTCAACGAAAATTCAAATTATTAGAAAAAAACGTGACAAATTATTACCTTTCTTTGAACTACCGCCGAAGATAACAACAAAAAATATTTATAACGAAAATTCAAAAAAAAAAAAAAAAAAAAAATAATAAGCCAAATAATAACCAAAGCGATTAATAAAAACAAAAGATTTCCAGTACTAACGGAATTCACACTAATACCGAACTATCTTCAAATATTAACTATTTCACAATGTATTATAAACATCTATACATAAGTGATTGGGGTTCAATCATAGCGTGAGTGAGTAGGTTTACAAAACAATTGTCGATTATTCTTGATCTATGTAAAGTTAAGTATAATTTAGTTGTAAACTTTGGTGTTTCCTAACGGCCTTTACAGATTGAAATTTACTATATATACAAACTTAAGTACTGCGACTGAAAACTGAAATATTATTTTCTTCCCTTTTTCCAGGACTAGTCCTAAGTCTGTAAGCAAAACTATTTAAACAAAATTTTACTTTTCTTCTCCCTTGAGCAGTTAAATCAGCCACTTAACATAAAACTAATTAAGACTCTGGGATTAGAAATTTTATATGTACTTGGATTTAAGAATGTATCGCTATTATATCTAATCCCCCTGAGAATTTAATAGATATAAGACTTATACATCGTAAATACAAGTAGAAAATAATAAATGAAATTTACCTTGGCTATGGAATTTAATGAAACTTTTTGTTTATATATTAGGCGATTAACCATACTTCTAATGTACTAAATGCTTAAGACTCTAACAATAAAGCTAACAAAAAGATATGTTTTTGCCAAGAAGATGTCGCAACGCGTTACGGACTCTTATTTGACGTGAACAGGACTTACACTACTTGGGCAAAAACATAACACTAACAAGTATGGACGTACTCACTTTGGGCCCCACGTTGGGCGCCATTCTGTACTGACCAGGATTATGAAAATTGATAGCAAAACAAATGCCGAAACATCTGTTGCGGGTCGGTGTTGCCAAATGTCGGCGGCGCTGGTATTATGGCTTACGTCGGGCTGAGGCTCGCCGGATGGGGTGGTTCTTGCCGACACTGCAACTTTTCCTGGGTACAAAAACTCTATACAATACCAGCTTTACTTTTAAGTTTAAAAAAGAAAAGTATTTAAATTGAAAAGGGACCCGAAGTGAGCAAACATTCATAAGACGAATACACAAAACATTTATCTAAATTATTCCTTTCCAGGCCAAGAATAATCATTATTGGCGGATGGAGTTGCCAATATGTTGTTTCCCTACCAGAGGTCTGAACCTACAACCGTAGCAACCTAGTCATTTTAGCTGCCCCTAACTATCCCTACCCACTCACAATAATTTCACCCCAATCACTTAACTTGTAAACTTAGCAGCTCTCCATATTTGAGATCTGGACTATCGGGAGTTTACATAACATTCATTTGGAAGAAGGGTAGCGTAGGTTTTCAGTCCGTCCGTTATCTGTCCTCGTTCGGTGTTTCAGTAAGTAAAATATTATAAAAACTTAAAAAAAAACCCTTTTAAATAATTTATACTTTACTATATATTTTTATACCCTACACCACTTTAGTGGGGAGGGTATATTGGGTTTGTGCTGATGTTTGTAACGCACAATAATATTGGTCCTATACCCACCTTAATGTATACCAATCGGCTCAGAATCATTTTCTGAGTCGATTTAAACCTTGTAATCAAACTACAGGTCGCAATTTTGAAGATAATTCAATGAAATTTGGTACATGATCTTCTATTGTCCCAGGGACGAAGCCTATTGAAAATGGTTAAGATCGGTTCATTATTTCACCTAGCCCCCATACAACTAAACCCCCCAATAGGGCTTGTAATCCTTGTAATCAAACTACAGGTCGCAATCTTAGAGATAATTCAATGAAATTAGGCACATGATCTTTTATGGTACCGTAGACGAAGCCTATTGAAAATGGTTACCATCGGTCCATTATTTCACCTAGCCCCCATACAACTGAACCCCCGAATAGGGCTTTTAAAACTTGTAATCAAACTACAGGTCGCAATTTTGGAGATAATTCAATGAAATTTGGTACATGATCTTTTATGGTACCGTAGACGAAGCCTATTGAAAATGGTTACCATCGGTCCATTATTTCACCTAGCCCCCATACAACTGAAACCCCGAATAGGGCTTTTAAAACTTGTAATCAAACTACAGGTCGCAATTTTGGAGATAATTCAATGAAATTTGACACATGATCTTTTATGGTACCGTAGATGAAGCCTGTTGAAAATGGTTTACATCGGTCCATTATTTCACCTAGCCCCCATACAACCGAACCCGCCGAATAGGGCTTTTAAGTTCATAATTATGTTTGAAAATGGTTAAGATCGGTTCATTATTTCACCTAGCCCCCATACAACTGAACCCCCCAATAGGGCTTGTAATCCTTGTAATCAAACTACAGGTCGCAATCTTAGAGATAATTCAATGAAATTAGGCACATGATCTTTTATGGTACCGTAGACGAAGCCTATTGAAAATGGTTGCCATCGGTCCATTATTTCACCTAGCCCCCATACAACTGAACCCCCGAATAGGGCTTTTAAAACTTGTAATCAAACTACAGGTCGCAGTTTTGGAGATAATTCAATGAAATTTGGTACATGATCTTTTATGGTACCGTAGACGAAGCCTATTGAAAATGGTTACCATCGGTCCATTATTTCACCTAGCCCCCATACAACTGAACCCCCGAATAGGGCTTTTAAAACTTGTAATCAAACTACAGGTCGCAATTTTGGAGATAATTCAATGAAATTTGGCACATGATCTTTTATGGTACCGTAGATGAAGCCTGTTGAAAATGGTTTACATCGGTCCATTATGGCGTGGCTTGGTGTTGCTTATTTTAATTTGAATTTTATTTAGTTTTAAGTTTTCTTTGATTCAGATTTAAAGTTTACTTTAATGTAGTTTTAAACTTTTAGTTTTAAAAATGCATTCAATTGTGTTTTTTTTCTTTAATAAAAATTAAATAGTTTAACAATAAAACAAACAGTTTTTTTTATCACGTAGTCGATGGCCAAGGGCTCCACCTTCTTCATTAGCCAAAAGAAATAAAAAGGACCGACATTTTGGCCATTAGGGACCGAGAAACATCGGTAAGCAAAATGGTTCCCTTTAATTTAATTTCATTTCAGCTATTAGTCTCTATAGTTTTTCTTTTTCTAGCTTAGTTTTGTTTGTTTATGCTATTCCAGATGTCAAATTGTTTATCACCGCGTTGTCAACTTTCCATTTACTCTTCTTCTTTTATTTTCTTTAAATTTTGCCCTACTACAGGGTGCACACGACACATTCTATTTTGTCTATAAATTATTTTTTTTGGTTACAGATTGTTCCTACCACTGCTTAAAGCAGAAGTTCAAATACTTAATTACACGGACTCGCATGTTGCGATGATAGGTGACGGATACGGAAAAATTCAGGAATGAACATTTAAATTTATACATCAAATAGATCTAAATTCTTATGACGATTTTTTGCAAAAAACAAAAAAATATATTGAAACTTACATACCTGAGACGAATCCTCTACAACCAACGCTAAAATACGAATTATTTCAAACTATAGATTTATTAGAGACACTTAAGAACTACGCACCAAAAAGAAAATCTAGATCAATTAATACATTAGGAAAAATTTGGAAAATTATTGCCGGATCCCCCGACCATGATGACGCAGAATATATTTACAAAACACTAGATGAGCTAACAGATAATAATAATAAACAAGTAATAATTAACACTGACTTCAGTAATCAATTAAATAATATCACCAAACTTATTAACACATTTTCTAATTCCATAAGAAAAGATAATTTTATTTTAAATGAAAATATTGAAATATTATCAAATAAAATTAGATTAGCTAAAGAAGGAATCATAAACGTTAAACATGCCATACAATGGGCAAAATATAATATAATAAACTCGTATTTGTTAAACAAAAAAGAAATGAATTTTGTAATTAACCAATTAAAAAAAGAAAACATGCCTTTTAACAATATTGAAGAAGCTTTAGAATTATCGAACATAAATGTTCTAAGTAATAACACAAATATTTTATACATATATCATTAAAATCCCTATTACAAGTGAAATATTATATAAAAAACTTATTGTAAAACCAATTATAAAGAATAATACTATAATAAATTTGAATTTTACAGAAATATTTTTGAATGAAAATGAAACTTATGCAATAAAAGAAAATTGTAAAATTTATAACAAAATTGAAATTTGTAAAAAAATACATTTATTAGATCTAAGTAAAGATAATTGTATAACAAATATTATATTTAATAAGCAATCCTCATGCACAAGAAGCAATGTTCACCATATTCCTCGTGTTGAAGAAATCGCAGACGGGATAATACTACTGAATGATGTTAATACAACTATTTTAACAGAAACAATAACCTATAAATTATATGGAACATTTATTATTAAATTTGACAATACAACTATAAAAATAGATGACAAAATATATCAGAACTTAGAAAAGAACCTGAGCATATTGTCATTAGAATCACTCCAAGAGCTACATTTAAACAACATAAAAGCGATACATAATATTAAAAGAGAAGCATGGGTTAGAAATATTGTGATATCCCTTACCCTCTTAGGCACCGTCAGCCTTACAATTTGGACACTGAAGAGATCACAGAAGAAACCTATAACAACATTCATTTTGCAACCCACCAAAAATTTACACGTTGAAAACAAGTAAGAAAGTATAGTCGGGCGAGGCCGACCATATGATACCCTACACCAGTTATGAATATTAAATGTGATTTATTTTTCATAGTAAAGCATTTATTTTCAATATTCCCTTGTTCCGATACATTTTAGCAATTTATGGATGAAAAACTAATTTTCTGAAAGAGGCTTTATATGGAGGCTAGGGGCAAATATGCACCAAGCCCGATAAAATTTTGTGAATATATTTATATTTACATAATATTTTATTATTGCGCTGAATTTCATCGCAATAAATTTGGGACATTCAAGTAATTTTCTGAAGGGGACTTTGTATGGGAGCTAGGGTCAAATGGGGCCCGATCCTTATGAAATTTGGCAGGGTCATCAAGACTTCTATAAAACTTAGTTGTGCCGTATTTTATCGATATATCTGTATATTTAACATAATTATGAGCTCAGAAGCCCTTTTCGGAGGGTTCTGTTCTATGGGGGCTAGGTGAAATAATAGACCGATTTTAACCATTTTCAATAGGCTTCGTCCTTGGGTCAAATAAAACGTGCATGCCAAATTTCATCCAATTATCTTGAAAATTGCGACCTATACCTTGCGCACAAGGTTTACATGGACAGCCAGCCAGCCAGACGGACGGACGGACGGACATAGCTTAATCGACTCAGAAAACGATTCTAAGCCGATTGGTATACTTTAAGGTGGGTCTAGGACGAATATTTTTGTATGTTACAACATCAGCACAAATCCAATATACACTCCCCACTAAAGTGGTGTAGGGTATAAAAATCAAGTTGAAACACCTGTTACGAGAATAAATGAAATACCTTACTTTTGAGTCAATCGAGGACGATCGAATTTAAGGGCGGAGGAGTTAAGAACAAAAAAAATTACAATGAAATTTAAATACTTCAGGTCATTGCACGTTAATGCAAACTAACAACAAAGGTAATAAACTTATGTTGCAATACTTTTAAACATAATTGCTGACTTTGCGTCTGGAGAAATTTATTGAACATTGCATTATTTATTATTTTTAAGTCAAAATATAATTTAGTTCAGTTCAATTTGTAACTCGCAACTTATAACATTAATAAAAATAAAATCGCTTCAGACTTACTGAAGTTATTTTTAAAAACTAAAAAATTAAAAATTTAGTTTAATTTATATAAGTTTGTCATTCCATGTGTAACACCAAGAAATATTCATCTGAGACTAAACAAAGTATATATATTCCGGGTCCTTATCAAATTCTGAGTCGATTTAGCTATGTCCGTCTGTCTGCCTAAAACACTAAAACTAAGCAAAAGAAATCAAACAAATTCACCAAAAATATTCATTGTTATCCTAAGCAATTCTTATTTTTTAGAAAAAAGTGCTAGATGCTTTTTAGCACTTTTTCGTCTGTTTCTAGAAATTTTTAGCATTAAAAGTGCATTTTTGGCATTTTTTCTTCTATTTTGCACTTTTTTATAATTAAAGAACTTTAAAGTTTAATTTATCTAGAGAACTGCAAAAATTTAGTTTTGAGATGTGAAATTTTAAGAAATTCTCAAGAAAACTTTTTGTATATGTTTATTGTAATTTATAATTTACACAAGAAATTAAACTAAGAAGTGAATTATTTTAAATATTATTATGCAATAATCGTAACAAATATTTGAAAAAAATTACTAAAAAAGCGTTGTTTTGTTAACAATGTAGTGATTACATGCTAAAACGGCTAATATCTTCCAAAAACATTTTTTTGAAAAAAAAAAATCATTAAAATTTAAAATATACAATAAAATAAAAATGTATGAACATGTAAAAACAGGTAAAAGTTTAGGAATGCCGAATATTACATACGCACCAACACAACACTTTATATCGTGTATCGGTTTTATTTTCGGAATACGATCTTAATGGTTTGGATGAGAATAAATTTATTTTCTTAAAGAGGATTTATATAGAGGAAAAATTACAAACTTGCGTATTTGAATATAACCCTCATAATTCATTTGTCATATTAACATTTATATTGTTTCCTAAAAGCTCTTGGAAGTATGAGTAATAAACCTGACATCTATTCACCGAGATTTATGATTATTTCAACTGAATTTTCAATATTTTTGCAATAAGAATACCTTTGCTAAAGTGTTGTGAATAAGACCCATAAATTGTTTATATAAAAAATAACTAAAACTATAAATATAAAATTTTTTCTTCCGAATTTAACCCTTTTTTAGCATTTTTAATGAATAATTAAAAGATTTGAATGAAATTTTATGAAAGGAATGAAATTTTACGTCATACAAATCTTCCAAGCCTGACTCTTCAATTAAGATTAAAAAAACAAGACAATTGAGAGATTTATGGCAGTATCACGATTCGGTATTAAAAATTTATTTTATGTGCCCCCAACAAAAAAATTTCATAAAATTTAATATAATTATTTTAAATAAGGTTTACTTTTGCGTTTACTTTTTGCGGTTTACTTTTTTAAATTTTCAGAACATAAAATTTTTTCAATCCTGGGCTACTGCATTAAGCCCCCGACTACTCTATCTATAAGGAGTCAGAATATATCGCCCTACTGGATTGGCATAATCAAAATAGTTGTTTTAAGACAAATGGATATGAATATTTAATGACATTTAACTATTTTCTTTGATAACTTTTAAACAAATTAAGGGAATTTAAAAACCAAATTCAGATAGTTGAGGTTAATATGTTTCTCATCTAAATTGAAATTCAATTTTTAGTTGTCTAATATTCACGAAAACGTGGGTTTTAGTTTTTACGTTTACAAAAAATCGATTTCACGTCGAAAATAATAGACATATTAGAAATTTGATAAATCTATATGATTTTAGTATGTCGCATGTTTTGTAGACCACAGTTCAAGAAACCCGAATTTTGGATTATGCCAGGCTTGTAGCGATATGTAGGTACACATATTGTAGAAATTACAAGCGGAATTTTTACTAACGATACACTTAAAATTGATTTTATTTTTAATTTTTAAGTTTAATACATGAAAGAGTATATTTTTAGTTGATAAAAACTATGAAATTGAAAAAATCCCTACAACTTGACAATAGTAAAAAATCTTTCCCTTTTTCCCTACACGTGAAATTTTTGAAAAAAATCCCTACAAAAAGGGAAAAATCCCTACACTTGGCATCACTGATGTAAAGTAACAGAGATGTGGGTACTTGACAGCGGCGCGACGTCACACATGTGTAGATCTAAAGAATATTTCATTTCAATGACTGAGTCGAAGCAGAACGTTTTATTAGCATCAGGTGAGAGTATTATAGCAGAGGGAATAGGCAGTATTAAAATAATAACAGAATACTGTAAACTTGAACTGAAGAATGTTTTATATGTGCCAAAACTGCATTCGAATTTTTTATCTATTAATAAAATAGTTAAAGCTGGAAGAAATATTCATCTGAGACTAAACAAAGTATATATATTCCGGGTCCTTATCAAATTCTGAGTCGATTTAGCTATGTCCGTCTGTCTGCCTAAAACACTAAAACTAAGCAAAAGAAATCAAACAAATTCACCAAAAATATTCATTGTTATCCTAAGCAATTCTTATTTTTTAGAAAAAAGTGCTAGATGCTTTTTAGCACTTTTTCGTCTGTTTCTAGAAATTTTTAGCATTAAAAGTGCATTTTTGGCATTTTTTCTTCTATTTTGCACTTTTTTATAATTAAAGAACTTTAAAGTTTAATTTATCTAGAGAACTGCAAAAATTTAGTATTGAGATGTGAAATTTTAAGAAATTCTCAAGAAAACTTTTTGTATATGTTTATTGTAATTTATAATTTACACAAGAAATTAAACTAAGAAGTGAATTATTTTAAATATTATTATGCAATAATCGTAACAAATATTTGAAAAAATAAGCTAAAAGAGCGTTGTTTTGTTAACAATGTAGTGATTACATGCTAAAACGGCTAATATCTTCCAAAAACATTTTTTTGAAAAAAAAAAAATCATTAAAATTTAAAATATACAATAAAATAAAAATGTATGAACATGTAAAAACAGGTAAAAGTTCAGGAATGCCGAATATTACATACGCACCAACACAACACTTTATATCGTGTATCGGTTTTATTTTCGGAATACGATCTTAATGGTTTGGATGAGAATAAATTTATTTTCTTAAAGAGGATTTATATAGAGGAAAAATTACAAACTTGCGTATTTGAATATAACCCTCATAATTCATTTGTCATATTAACATTTATATTGTTTCCTAAAAGCTCTTGGAAGTATGAGTAATAAACCTGACATCTATTCACCGAGATTTATGATTATTTCAACTGAATTTTCAATATTTTTGCAATAAGAATACCTTTGCTAAAGTGTTGTGAATAAGACCCATAAATTGTTTATATAAAAAATAACTAAAACTATAAATATAAAATTTTTTCTTCCGAATTTAACCCTTTTTTAGCATTTTTAATGAATAATTAAAAGATTTGAATGAAATTTTATGAAAGGAATGAAATTTTACGTCATACAAATCTTCCAAGCCTGACTCTTCAATTAAGATTAAAAAAACAAGACAATTGAGAGATTTATGGCAGTATCACGATTCGGTATTAAAAATTTATTTTATGTGCCCCCAACAAAAAAATTTCATAAAATTTAATATAATTATTTTAAATAAGGTTTACTTTTGCGTTTACTTTTTGCGGTTTACTTTTTTAAATTTTCAGAACATAAAATTTTTTCAATCCTGGGCTACTGCATTAAGCCCCCGACTACTCTATCTATAAGGAGTCAGAATATATCGCCCTACTGGATTGGCATAATCAAAATAGTTGTTTTAAGACAAATGGATATGAATATTTAATGACATTTAACTATTTTCTTTGATAACTTTTAAACAAATTAAGGGAATTTAAAAACCAAATTCAGATAGTTGAGGTTAATATGTTTCTCATCTAAATTGAAATTCAATTTTTAGTTGTCTAATATTCACGAAAACGTGGGTTTTAGTTTTTACGTTTACAAAAAATCGATTTCACGTCGAAAATAATAGACATATTAGAAATTTGATAAATCTATATGATTTTAGTATGTCGCATGTTTTGTAGACCTCAGTTCAAGAAACCCGAATTTTGGATTATGCCAGGCT